CCCAAGGCCCTAAGCCCTGTTTAACTGTTTCTATGTTCAGGAGAGAGAGAGAGAGAGAGAGCGAGAGAGAGTGAGTGAGTGAGTGAGTGAGTGAGTGAGTGAGTGAGTGAGTGAGTGAGTGGGAGAGAGGGAGTGAGAACGAGTGACGAAAGAATGGGAAACGGGAGGCAGAGAGAGAGAGAGAGAGAGACAGATCACTCAGTGTGGAGCAACCGATGATGTAGACGTGTGCACATGTTGGCTAAGTTTGCTAGCTAAGGGAGCGAGTTCGCGGTGCAGTGGCCTTCTGCAGCCACCAGAAGCGAGTGAAACAGTACGTCAGGCCGATAAAGCAACCGAAGTCGGAGTTCCCTATACAACCCTATACATTGTATTCTTTAATCTGCAAGGCGGGACAAGTACGAGCCGACTGTCAAGCTGTACTGGGTGGACACCAAGATCTCAGGAAAGTATGAGAAGGAGGCCAACGAGCTGTACAGGGAGTCGGTGACCGGTGAAGGGGATGCTGAGGACTTCCAGGTGGGTGGTGTGATGACCAAAGACGACCCGATGGACTTCGATGAAGCAGGATCGGGTGATGATGCTGATGACGACCATGAGGAGGATGATGATGGAGCCAGCAAATCTCATCGTGGCAAGATCGACAAGGCGGCTGAGGAAGCTGCCATGGAGGACCCCCTTTACAAACTCATGTTTTAGATTTGCCTGTGGGATATCGGGCTGGGTGCCCTGCTTTCTGCATCTGTAGGACGTCGAGAACGTCCGGAGTGTCATGGCCAACCTCTTGAAGGCACAGGGCCGGCTGAACGCAACGTCGGATAAGCTTCGGGAGATTGGTTCGGAGGCTGCCACTGAGAGTCTATGCTGCAATATACTACGGGCTTCCCAATCATTGCTGTTGCATGGCTCTGAGGGTGCAATCTTTGTAATTATGATCGTCCTTCGACTATAGGTCCGAGGAGAAGATCCAGAACCACGTAAAAACCCTCATGAAGCTCCACGATGAGCTAGCCGATGTGAAGTCGCACTTCGATGGCCATGGAGATTTCGATGCCAAGTCCCTTGATGCAATTGCTTGCCCCAATACATGATTAAATGTAGTAGTGCACTGTGTCTGATCAGGAAGGCACTGCAGCTGAAGAAGTGCATGCAGCAGGTCGAAATTTCGTGCCCAGACTAAACAATATTATTGCCTGCCATTGAGTCTTGTGCCTGATCTCCTTGCCCAACACCAAATCCTAACTGAGGTGCAGCCGAGCCATCATGGAAGATGTTAAGGTGAAGAAGCCCCTAGCCTTGAACCACAAAGTCCCGAAAGCCCGAATCTATCATCCGCTGCTGAGGACACTCCTGAAAGCCGCTCCGAAGGCTGCAGCTAAGGCTGCAGCGGCAAAGCCTGCTCCCAAAGCGGCGCCTGCCACGGGCAAGCGCAAAGGTGGCGGGAAGGGTGGCCAGGAGCCCAAGAGGGCAAAGAAGTGATGGATCAGGAGCCGCCCAGCCACCCTATACTCTAAGCTTCTCTAATTCTCCAGTCTGTGTCATCGCAGGATCCTACACGTGTCGAGGTCGCTGTGACCGAGCCTGTGGTGCAGCCGCGATGGCATCATAGTGATTGTCCTGCGTGGTTTCAGGGGCGAGTCAGATCTATGCTGCGGGCATGGGAGAGATATGGTCAGGGATCGATATAGTTGTTATAATCGGCTACTGCTGTGATGTCAGCATATGTATACACTTCTGCGGGGCCTATGCTGCTGTTGCATGGATCTCTCGAGAAGCATCTTACCGGTGCGATGTTGTTCTAAATTAAGCTGAGCAGAAAGTTGGTACTCCCAACATGCAATGCTTAGCACTGAGAGTTGAAACCATGGGGCACTACTTGTCTCTACCGCCGGCTCTGAAAAGTGTCCGACTGCATCTGATTGACACGACGAAACCTTGCAATAGACTGGCAAGCCGGATTACGTGGTATTTACAGCTTCCACATGTCCTTCGCAGGCGGCCTCAAGAAGCGCATCCGCACCGATGGTCCTGTGGCTACAGCACTGGTGCAATCGGTCGTGAAGGGAGTGTTCTGGTATCACAATGAGCAATGCCAGGTTGTGCTTCATGTGAACATTGTTCTGTTTTTTTACATTATGATGTAGTTTCTGCGACGTTATGGCAATTCGAGTTCCTGAGGTTTCGGAGAAGCATGCCTGTTCTTTGATGGGGGCGATTTGGGAGGAGATCAAGGATTTGCCAGGGGCAGACACCTTACCAAGCACAGACGTCATCCGAAAGGCTGCTACCCTGTCCCAAACCGGTCACGAATGTCGTCTTTGTGATGCATTGGAAGAAATGAAGCTGTCTGCTGCTATACCCATCAGCTACGTCGATGTCGGAACTGCGGTGCAACATCCTATCTTCGGGATCAGAGATTTTCTATCTTCTTTATCAGAACGTGGAAAGAGTGATCTCTTGTTTTGTGGGCACCCCGAGACCGACTACGAAGATTTCTGGGCTCTGTGGCGCCTGATCCAGCCACAACATCCAGTCTTCTCGCAACATGCTCGAAAAGATCGGCTTAAATGATGTATACCGGTCTATGCCTATGCAGACGAGGGAACATCACAGAAGCGCCGCGGTTTGATGGTGATTCAATACCAGCCTGTTTTGGGGCATGGCAGTTCACGAGGTCAAGACCTGAACATGATCAAAAAGAGCCTGACCACAAGGTTTTTGTATGCGGTCATGACAAGCCACACTTATTCGGGAAAGCTGTTGAAGAACAAACCATTGCTGCAACTTGTGGAACATTTTGCTGCTGAGATGGGCTCTTTGTTTGATGAGCCAATTCCCATGAAGTGTGTGGGTGGCAAGACTCGCCAAATCCGTTTGGTGTGCCTCGGCTTAAAGGGTGACCTTGCAGCACTCGTCAAGATAGGGCAGCTGCAAAGAAATTTCCAGAGGGATACCCCGACGAAAACCTCTGGACCTGGGATCTGTCATCTGTGCCATGCAGGCCAAGAAGGCCATCCTTGGCACTGTGTTACTTTCGACAATATGTCGAAAATGCGAGAGAACCTACAGCCACCCTGGAATCGAGAGCCCTCCCTGATTCGTTTGATTCCTCAATCGGAGCAGCACAAACCACAGTTCTTTGAGCTGGACCTGTTCCACTGTGCCCACAAAGGGGTGTGGGGCGACATTGCTGCCAACACGATCGCATCTCAGCTTTCAGTTTTTTGTAAAGTGAGTTTCTTTTGTAGTTGAGCACCCGCCTAAGCAAATCCCTAAACCCCGCCAAACATCCCTAAAGGTTGCCCTTTACGAGTATAAAGCCCTTGGCAACCTGTCGATCGACAAAGCATTGGCTGCAATTTTCGATGATTGCAAGAAGTATTGCCGTGAGAATGGACTACAGCTGCACATGACTGCTCTAACTCGTGGTGCTGTGGGCTGGGAAACCGCATCATCTTTCCCTTCAGCGTGCCTTGGGGTGCAATGTTCGGACTTTTGTTTAGCTAAGGCCACCTAAAGTTTTCTGCGCAACGAGGTGCTGGTTTAAAGGAGCCGACACCACAACTTTATGCCTGTATCTGGAAGACAAACTCCGTGAAGTTTTGCCAAACATATCTCCCAGCAACAAGCCCCTGTTTGAGACGATGCTCCGAATGCTCGGAAATTGCAATCTCTTTATGAGAACCTTGTATCATGCCGACTTAACATTGCTGGACAATGAACGGTCTGTAGCCATCTCGTCGGGCATGGCAGTGATCAAAGACTTCAAAAGATGTGCTCTACATTCTTTCAGGGAGCAGAAGACACGCTGGAAAATGCAGACGAAACTGCATTTCATTGGAGAGATTCTTTTTCGTTTGGAATCACATCGTCGACTCCAGATTCCATCCCTGAACCCACTTGCCACTGGGACCCAGATCGATGAAGACTTTGTTGGTGCTGTTTGTTCTATGAGCAGAACCGTGTCTGGACGAAAGCTTCATACCCGGACTCTTCGCAAATATGCCCTAGCACTCGCCAGCCATTGGTGATTCCCTGTTCGGTCCTCTTCCGCTGCAGCAGCCGATGACCGTGGAAGCAGAGCGGGGGGAAAGAGAGGGATTTCTATGCTTTCAGCTTCTGCGTGGGGCTTCAACAGGGCTTTGTTTGGGAGGTTGAGCGCTTTGTTGTGGCTTGCGATTGAGTTCGGCTGATATCTGAGCCTCAATCCTGGAGAACCCAGAAACACGCAACTTTTGGGCTCTGGGCCCTGTGGCACTTCTCAAGCCCGAAAAGCGGCACTTCCTGAAGTGCCGGAAATAAATGCACACCAGGCTTTCCAGGTAAACCCTAAAACCCTAAACCCTAAACCCCTAAAGCCCCAAACCCCTAAATTAAAAGCCCTAAACCCCCTAAAAAAAACCCTAAACCCCCTAAAAAAAAACCCTAAACCCTAGAACGCAAGAGACGCCAAGCTACAACCTGGAGCCGAGAGTCGGACGCGGGTCGAAGAGGGCCTTGAGGTTGTAATTTTGGGTAGTTCTCTCTAAGCCCTAAACCCTAAACCCCAAACCCCCTAAACTCTAAACCCGAGCCCAGGGTTTAGGGTTCAGGGTTTAGGGTTTAGCACAAGGTTTGGGTAGTCCTCTAAATTAGGGGCCCTGTTAGGGCGTCCTTTTTGAAGGGGTGCCGTACTATTTGGGGGACCCGAAAAGGGACCCTGACTTAGAGAACTCCCCATACAGGGGCCTTACTAAATTCCCTATACTATTTTGTTGGGGGTTCCTTATCATAGTTATAGTGTAACGGACCCCCCAAACCCTATTCTAGTTATTAAAGCTTCTACATCAGGCTTTGTGGTCTCAGGGTGCAGGATTTCGGCTTTCTGGTTTCATTGTACAGGCTTTTTGCGGCTTGGGGTATGGACAAAGAGATCTTTGGGGTTTCGGATCTAGATGGATGTGAATAAGTGCATGGCGCATGCTGTTGATAGAATGGCTGGAGAGACGGTTTAGGGTTTAGGGTAAAGTTTATGGCGATCTCAAGCATAAAGACCCGAAGAGACTTCGCACTGAACTGGCCGGACATTGCCAGCGGACTCTGTAACTTCGGTTTGGGGTTTCTGCGAAGTTCTCCACCCGACAGTTTACATCCGAGACCCATTCCAACTCGACACCCGAAGCCCAAAGACCCCGAGCCCTAAACCCAAAAACCCGAAAGCCTAGAAGCCCTGTGACCCTAAACCCTACCAAGAAAACACTAGGCCCTGAACCCCAAACCAACTGGTGATCAGTGATCTTCACCCCTAAACCCTAAACCCTAAGTCCTAAGCCCTAAGCCCTAAAACCCTAAACCCTAAACCCTCAGCCCTAAACCCTAATCCCTAAACCCTAAACCCTAAAACCCTAAAACCCTAAACCCTAAGTCCTAAACCCTAAACTCTCAGCCCTAAACCCTTTTTCTGTGAACTGAGGTCTGGACAGTGGCTGCGCCAGAGAGGTCGCAGATGCCGACGTCGAGGCAACGTCGGATCGTTTAGGGACTTTGGGCTTAGAGGGTTTAGGGTTTAGGGGTTTAGGGTTTAGGGTTTTGGGTTTAGAGGGTTTAGGCCTTTTGGGGGTAGTTCAATCAAGCCCGAGAATCAGCCGTAAATGATCCTGAACTAAACCCCTGAACCCTAAACTCTAAGCCCTAAACCCCTAAGCCCCTACACCCCTAAACCCGGAAACCCCTAAACCCCAATTCGTCGAAGCCCTTGGCCTAAACCGGAGACGGCCCAAGGGGCCCGTAACCCTGCAACATCAAACCACAATCATTAGGGTTTAGGGTTTAGGGTGTAGGGTCCAGGGTAACAATCATTAGACATGAAACCTTAAATCCCTTGGGTTACGCAAGGGTTTAGGGCAAGATCTCAAGAGGTTCAGGACGGGTGTATGTAAAAGCAGTTCTTTTTTTTCATAGGTCCATCATGAAGTCCCTGCAGACCTGCTGTTAACACCTTTTCAAGCACCCTCTCTGAACCAAAGCCGCCGTTAGCAATCCTACGAGAGACCCTTTTCAGATTTTGCAAGGAGCCTATACCCTAAACCCTAAACCCTGAACCCGAAACCTAGAGCCATCAACCCTAAAGACAAATTCCAGCATCCTTCCAACCCCGAAGCCTCACACCCAACCCTTCGACCATGAACCTTGAAGAGTTTAATGTTTATGAATCTTGAAGATTGTTATTATTTTTGAATCTTGAAGAGTTTAATGTCTACGAATCTTGAAGATTTTGATGTTTACGAAGCTGGGAGAGTTTGATGTTTTACGTATCTTGAAGAGCTTGATGTTTACGAATCTGGAAGTCTTGAAGAGTGTAATGTCTACGAACCTTGAAGAGTTTAACGTTTAGGGGCTTAGGGTTTAGGGTAAGTGTCAAACACCCTTCTTAAGCACACTCTTGAAACCCAGTGTCACAACCACCCTTGGAGGACTTACCCTTAAGAAGGGCTTAAGGCTTTGGGTTTAGGGGTTCAGGGTTTAGGGGTTTAGGGGTTTAGGGTTTAGGGTGTAGGGTTTAGGGTTAAGGGTTTAGGGGTTTAGGGTTTTATGGTTTTCGGCTTTAGGGTTTAGGGGCTTCTTTCTTGAGCTGAGAACCCCAGGCATCTTTTCGCTAACAGCCCACAGAGGAAGCCGTGCTTGACGGATCCTGAAGACTAGGTCCCCCCCAGTAGTACCCTTTTGCCCTTTTTGGTTTTGGGGCCCCTTAGTAAACCCAAAGAGTAGGAAAAAGGGTGCCCTTATTGTTCGGGGGTCTACTGGGGTACGGAATACTCGCAAAACAGGGCACCCTTATTCTCATTGTTGTGACTATTACCCTAAACCCTGAACCCTGAACTTATTATTTTCCCAAAGGGTCCAAGTACCATTAGAGTAGCCACTTAGTGGTATTTGGGCCCCAAAAAGTACATACTATACTAGTACTTGGACCCTTTGAGTTTTAGTAGTTCTGATGATTATGGTGCTACTGGGGGATCCTGGGAGATCAGCTGCAGGGTCGTTCGGGAAGGCCCTTGGCGGTGAGGCGCTGCTGGAGAAGCTGCGCCGCTTTAGGCCGGTTTAGGGCTTTAGGGTTTAGGGTTTTGGGGTTTAGGGTATGGAAAGTATAGTGTAGGGTTTAGAGTTTAGGGTAGGGTTTAGGCTTGAGAGGTTCAGGGTTTAGGGTATAGTAGGTATAATATAGGGTTTAGAGTTTAGGGTAGGGTTTAGGTTTTAGGGTATACGGTTTTAGGGTTTACAGTAGGGTATAGTCTAGGGTTTAGAGTTTAGAGTAGGGTTTAGGGTTTGGATTAGCGTATAGTTGCCAATACCCCGTACACGGGGAACATCCCTCCAACACACCTTAATCTTAAGCAGTGAATGCAAAAAGGAACTTGATAAGTTACAGGCTTTTTGTAGTCTTGGACTCGATACCAAAAAAAAAGGCAGCCCTGTTTACTCCTAGGTTGCTGGTGATCCTGGTGTTTGGGGTTTAGGGTTACAAAGAGTCGCAAAAAGTAAGTTGATGTGCTAAAACCTCCGACCCAATGAGCAGAGTGTGTAGGAGCTGGGGATTGCAGGCTGGCTTGTGCAACTAGGCCCTCGGCAGCCCTGCCACAAGTCGTGAAGGCCCTTTAACCCGAAACCCCTTAGCCCCTAAACCCTAAACTCCTAAACCCCAAAACCCAAAACCCTAGAGCATCCACGAGCCATGTTTTTCGTGAACTGTGCAATCGTTTATGTTTCTGCTCTCTCCAACCGGACCCTAAACCCTAAAACCCTAAATCCTTACCCTAAAACCCTAGAGCCCTGAAGCCCTACACCCTACACCGACACGCAGGGCCATGCGCCAAGATGAGACCTACCGGGAATGCCCCCAGTGTGCGACACAGGTGTGGGCCTTATTGTCGTCGTTTCTTCAGCTGTCACATATGACAAGGGCAGTTCTCTAAATTAGGGTCCCTGTTTGGGTCCCTAAAATAGTACGACACCCTTATGAAAAAAATCCTGAATGGGACTCTAATTTAGGACTACCCATAAGTCAGTATCTGCAAATTATATCATAGTACGTTAAATCAGATTATACAGGTAGTACATTGCGTTATCACACTACCTCATGAGCATGTTAACAATACATGTTGCTGTGTTAGTTTTTGGTTCAGGGGTTAACCCTAAACTCTGCAGCACAGTCCTGCGATGATTCGACTTCTCATGTCTTAAATCATGAAGGGAGATAGATGTAGATAGATAGATAGATAGATAGATAGATAGATAGATAGATGTATATATATATATAATTATATCATTATGTACATATATATATGTATATATATATATATGTATATATATATATACATACATATATAGGTATGCATGTAGATATGGTTTTGGAATCTCTGTGGCCATGAGCTTTCGCAGTTGCTCACAAATTGAAGTCGAAATATATATACAAATATTTATAGAGGGTT